TATATAATTAGAAATAAATATTGAAAATATTTTTTGGTAAAAAATTATTTCAAAAAAAAATCAGAAAAATATTCATATCAATATAAATTATATATATTAATTCATTTATTTTTTTGTTTAAAAAAGTTATAATATAAAAATAAAAACTTTTATATACACAATAATTAATAAATTTAATGTGTTTAAATAATAGTTGAAAATTTCGAGGCTGATAATTGCATGAGATTTCGGGAGCAAAAAGGCTTCCCCAGGATGTTTATAAAAAAATATATTTTTCTGAGCAGAAACATCTTACTTTTATATTTTTTCGTTTTGAATGATTGGGAATGTACTTTATTTTTTTTTGGAGTATATCTCAATAAACTTTGAATCTTCAGTAGTAGATTTACAAAATTTTAATTTAAATACAAACAAAATAATTATTTTTATTTTTATTAAATTTCTCAAATAGAAAAATAATAAACTAATTTTTTTTATAAAAATGTTTTAAAATATTATGTTTATATTAATTTTTAATTATTTTTCTAAATTAGCAAATAAATTCTAATTATCAAAAAATAAAACAGAATTTCTATAATATATTCAATATAATTAATTATTACTACATTTAATGAAATTGATTAAGCTTCTTTTTTACGTATTTTTATCAATTAATAAGTATTTATATATTTAATTTTTAATATCTATTTATTTAATTTTTATGCATTTTTATTAATTATATATGTTTCCTATTTTTTAATTAATTACACTTTTATTTAGTTTTTTATATGATAAATTTTATAATTTTCAAGAATATCGAAATGTAAAACCTAAATCTTTAATTCTTTTTATAAATATTTGATAAAAAAATTATTAAATATTTTTAATAAACTAATTAATTTTCTAATAAAAATTTATATAATAATGTTTTTTAATATTTAAATTTAAAATATGTTTTTAATTATTTTTTATCAAAAATAATAATATTTAATATTAATTTTTAAATAAATTATTTCAAAGAAAATATTTTTTTATACAATATAAAATATAAAACACTAAATGTCTAATAATTGTAATTTTTCTTTAAAAATAATAATACATGAAATATGTTTAACAAAATTTGCATTTCAAGATGATAACTTATGTATATAAAAACCTGGTTTTAAAATAAAGTTTGTTGATTATCCTCCAATATTGATATAATCCAGAAAGGCCTTTTATTTAGAGGATTTTAATAATATTAATAAAAATATAAATAAAGAAATTAAAGAAAAAAAGGCATTTGGAAAAGGAAAATCATTAAGTTTGAATTCTAAGCTAAAATAAATGGAAGATTACTTAGAATAGTAAGCACTTATAATTTAGTTAAAAAATTACACACATAATAATCACAGAACAATAGGAAAAGCAATTTGTAATCTAAATATATTTAAAAAAGATATAAAATACATCATAAACAAAGAAATAGAAAGATTTAGAAGAAATTCGTTTAAATTAATAGATATAAATAACAATTGTAAAATAGTATAATGTTAGTATTTTTTAAAATAAATTATTATTAATAAGGTGTTGGGTGGTTTGATATGAGTATTTCTATTCTTTAAAGGAAATAGGATTAATTATAAAACATATTAATAGAATAATAAATAAGTAATACTGAAAAATCAATATAATTATAATAAGAAAAATAAACAAAAGTAAGCAAAGAATATAAAATAGATAAAATAAATATATAAAATAAATAATAAAATAGTAATCAATATTCATATGAATAAAAAGAAAAATAAATATATTAAGAGTAGAATAAAAATTAATAGTAAAAATATTAAATAAAATAAATACAATAATAAAATTAATAATAATAATAATAATAATAATAATAATAATAATAATAATAATAATAATAATAATAATAATAATAATAATAATAATAATAATAAATCTTGTAATTTGAAACAAATACTTTATAAGATTATGAAGAATCTAATTAAGATTTATTTTAATAAAGTAACAAAACATTTAATTCTTAAAAGATTAAAAATAAAGACTCTAAAAAAATAACATTTGAAGATTTTTATGAAACAGTTTATATATTTTTTTAACATTTATATTATTATTATTATTATTATTATTATTATTCTTATTATTATTATTATTATTATTATTATTATTATTATTATTATTATTATTATTTTAGTATGAAGATGATTTCGAAAGTATGAGTTTATCTTAAATTCCTCAAAAAAAATAAACTTAAAAAGGAAATTTGAATAAAAAAAATACATCTTAATAAGAAATAAATTATAAAATAGATAATACTATAAGTGAAGAATATAAAGATGATTTCGAATTTTGAAATAAATTTTATTTTTTGTTATCGTATATAAAAAAATAATTTATTTTATCTTTTATTAAATAAAAAAATATTGATTTATATTTAAATTTAAAATTTTATAATATATAAAGTTTTCAATAATTATTTTATTTATTAATTTAATTATTTTTTTATTAATTAATACATTTTTTATTTATAAATAATTTTTTAAATTATAAATCACTTTTCTTAAATAAAATACATATAAATCTTTCTTATTTTACTAAAAATTTATTTAGTTCTCATTTCACTATATTAGTAAATATACTTATTTTATATATATTTTAATAAAGCAAATAATTTATTGATTTTTTAATAATAATTATATAAAATAAGTAAATCTACTTTTAAAACTTATAATTTCTTTAAAAAATTCAAAACAAATGAAGACTCATTTTTAAAAAATTATTAATTCATTTAATTTTAATAATTATTAATTTAATTTAAATTAAAATAAAATAAAATAAATATATATATATAAAATTTATGACAATATTATTTATGATATATAAAATTCAATTTTTGTTAATACTTAAAATAAATTATTTTAAAAAGAAAATAAATTATAAAAGATTTAATTTTGATAAAAAATACTTTTTAAAAATTAGTTAATGAATAAATCAAAAATTTAATAAAAAAATTTAAATAAAATTAATAATATTATAAAATATTTTAATTTCAAGAGTAAAACTACAAAACATACTTTTATTATGAAGAAAAAATAACAAAATTATGCTAATTTGAAAATAAAACTAATATATGAAAATTATGAAAATAAAAATATAATAATATATTATTTAAATAATAAATATAAATAAAAAATTTTTTTATAAAGATTAAATATATTAAAATATAGAATATATCTTTGAATAACCAACAGACTTAAAAATATGTGAAAATAATATTTTTAATTAATATTAATATTATTGTAATAAAACTTAAGTATAATCAAAACATATTAATCATGAATAATAAATTAAATGAAGCAATTGAATTTAAATATAAAATTAATAATTTATACAAAAATATGCGACATATTAATTTTCTAGTCTTATTTTTTTATTTATATTAATATCTTCATATTTTAAGAATTAATAGAACAATAGGTATATTAATTATAAATATTGAAATTTTTAAAATTTCAATGAAATAATAATGAATATTATTCTCATCTATAAAGCTTAAATGATTAAAAGAAATAATTTTTTGATTTATCTTATATTTAAAAACAAGTTTTATATTTATTTAAATTATGATATAAGAAGCTTTAAAAAAATTTATATTAATTAAATTATTTTTATTTATAGAATTTTAAATAATCTAACTATTTAAAAATTATTAAACTAGTGAATCGTTTGAAAATATTAGTGGTTATAAATAAAAAATAAATTAATTAATAGATTATGCTTAGTTATAATAGTATTTAATGTAAAGCAATAAATTAATAGTTTTATGATTATTCATTTGACACATTATAAATTTAAATTGGAAATAATCATCTCCACTATATAAATATAAATTGAAAATAATATTATTTTTATAAAGTCCCAAATCTTATTTGAAATATTATGAAATCACAATAATTAAATTATCTTTATAAAAATTAATTATTAAAATAAAATAATAAATCCAAATTAATTATACAAATTATTACTTTTAAAAGTAAATATAATTAAAAAGAAATAAAATTATAAGATACAAAAACTAATTTACAAATAAAAATTAAAACATAAGATATATAAATAATATTAAATAATATATAAAAAAGTAATATTAAATAATATATAAAATAATAATAAAAAAAAATATTTTTAATTCTAATTATATATTTTTAATAAAAATGATTTTTAAAATATTTAAATTTTTTATATTAATAATATTAAAAAAATCATATTTTTTCATGATAAAGATTTATTATAAACAAATTTTAACTAAGTTGTTGAATCATTTATTTCGATATTTTTTTTTCTTTAACAACTCTAGCAATGTCAGCCATAAAAATAATATTTTTCATGTCTTATTGATTTTTATTTTTTGCTAATTATATCTAAGAATTATTATATTTTCTTAAAAAAATTTAATTCGAACACATATCTTTTGGAAAGCATTTTTTCCCTTTTTTAGCTTCAACTTTTATAATTGTGTCGTTTAAATTTGGTTAAAAAATTATTTATTAATTTTAAAATTATTATAAACCCTTTTTTTGTTTGAAGAAACTTATTAAAATAAAAAAAAAATATTTATAATTATATATCTTTTTAAAATAAAAATACTATCTATAATTATTTATGCAAAATGGTTTAACTTAATATTTGATAATTTTATCTAGCTTTTAATTAAGAGCTGAATTATTTTATTTGTAAGATGAATGTTTGCTCAATTTGGTTTAATTATTAATGGAAAAGTTTAAATTCTCAACAGTAGCTGAATTATAATTTTTATTATTATTTATTTATAAATTAGCATTTATTAAACTTTTCTAAATTATATTTTTTTATTTTTTTCTTTGTTGCTTTATAGTTTAGACATTGTATTTATTATTTAGTTTGCTATCAAGATGTTATTATTAGTATATAATTTGGGATTTTAATTCCTTAATCTCATTTATTTTGGGCAAATAATAATCTTAGTTAACTTAATTATGTTAACTAACCTATTTTGCTTTTTGTTTATTTGGAAAAAGTATTTTATCTAAATTTGAGTTTTTTAATTAAGCACAAGAACAATATTTAATGATACAATCTATAAAATAATATCTTATGTATAATATTTTTATTAATAATTAATTTAAGATTTTACTAATTTCAGGACGTTCTTATTAATTAGATTAGACTAAATTTTCTATTAAATAAATAATATTTTTATTAAAACTAGTCATTTTTGGTAACTATGCTTTTTAAATTTTTTTATGTAATTCTTCAAGATTGTTTCCTAAAAACAAAGGTTTTTAATATATCATTTCATACAACAAGCATCCTAAACTCCAAATATCTGACTTTTTATTTTATATACCTAAAAATGATTCTGGGCTTTTTATTTTTTAAAATAAGAAATATTTTATTTTTATATTTCATTTAATAATTAAACCTTTTATAAAATGGACAGCCATTAATATTATTTTAAGAAATTAAATATCTAATTCCTATATCTCCTATTTTTATTTATCTTTCATTTTATAAAAATATATTCTAAGTCTTTTTATAAAGTAAAAATATAAATTATTTTAGAAGAAGTTGTTTTTATATTTAAAAAACCTTTAATTCAGTATGTATTATTTTTAAATCATGTAATGCTTTTAATCCATTTGAAATCTTTTTTATTTTTTTGGATAATTAGTTTATAAATTGTTATAATTTTTAAATTTTATAACTTAAAATAAATAATCCCAAATTTCAGATTCTAAATATGGTTTTTAATATTCAATTCTTTTTAAAATATCTTAAAATATATTTCCTCCTTAAATAAATTCTGAAACAACTCTTTATTTAAAAATTAAAAAAAAAAAATCATTACTTTTACATAAAATGAGTTTTTTCATTATTATATACACTATTAATTATCTTTATTATATTTGGGTTTTTTATATTTTATAATCTAGTGTAAATATCAAATAGCTTATCCATATTTTGCTCATTCATCCCTTAAATATAAAATACCTTAACACATAATTATAAGTTAAGTTATTTATCTTTAACTTTAAATGTAGCGCTAAACTTACCATTACCTTCATTTAAAACAATGTTTTTATTATAATTTGTAAAATAGATATATTAATACCAAGTGATTCACTATATTCATACTAAGGAAATAATGCTTCAATTAATTCTTTCATTTTTAGTATTATCTATTTTAAATATAGAAATAAAATAATTAATAAAATTAATTCTATATAAATAAAAATAAATTATTATTATTATTTATAAATTTTTTAAAATATTAATATTCATAAAATAATTTAAAAAATAATAATTAATTTTTTTTTAATTAATTAAAATATATATAATAATTTAAAAATTACATCAAGTAAAGTATTATAATATGGTTCTAAATTTATTTAAATAAAAAATTAATTTAAAATTATTATTTATATGTTTTTTTTAAACATAGAAAAAAAAAATATTTAAATAAAATTATTTTAAAAAAATTATTTTAAAAAATGTTTTAAAACTCAAATGTTAATTTTAACCGTACATCATAAATCCATTTATAAAGAAACTAAGATATATATTGTCAATATCATTAAAGTGAAACAATTTAAATGTATTCTATAGACTATTTAAAACCTTTTTGTTCTGATTGTATGTCTGAATATTTTGGAGATCATTAAAATAATTAGATAGATCATTCAATTGATAATTTAAAGAATGTAAGATTAAAATGTTCTAGCAAAATAAAAACAGGGATAGTCGAGCTAAACAAATATTTAGAAGCAAGCGAAATCTAATAATTATTGAATCCTTAGGCCGTGATAAACTAAGGAATATAATAAATATAGAAATGTAAATAGCAATTATAAAGAATTATTGATAATTATTTTGAATAATTATATTAAAACTTGAATACTTAAGTATAAGAAAATATGCTAAAAGCTTCTGAATTACAAATCATTTGGTCCGATATCAAAAAATCAATACAAGAATTAGAATCACTGAACTCAAATATTTAAAGCGGATAAAATGTTATTCAATCAATAACAAAAATTTGTTAGTTAGATATGAAAGCTCTTTTAGATAAATTTAATAATGATATTAATTTAATAATAGAATAAAATGATTTAGATAATACTCGTACTATTGTAAATAATAATGAATTTGGTGAATTTAGAAAAAATTTATAAAGCTTGATTTCTATAAAGAAGAAATAAAATAGCAAATATCCAAACATTACAAATAGTTAATAAAATTTTTACAGTAATTAAAAAGATGAATTCTAATAAAGTTAAAAAAAAGAAAACTAAATATAGTTAAATATATCCGCAAAAGATTATTTTGAAAACATAAACTAAAAAATTTATAGTTTGTCTGAATATAATGTTTTGCATGTCGTATAATATAATAATAATAAAATTACTGAAAAGTTTCTTATGAAACTAGATTTCGAACTACCTAAAGAGTATTCTTCATTAATCACTAGCAAGGGAGACTTCCTTATAATTGGAGGTATTTATTAAAATAAAAAATTGAATAACTAGATTTTTAAGATTTTTTTGAGCTAAGATACAAAACCAAACTTTGTAGAAGTTGGAAGAATCAAATAAGGGAGGATTGGGCATTCCTGTATTTAGTTCTAGGATTATATTTACATAATAGGAGGGGTAGATAATAATAATTAATTAGTGAGTTTAGTTGAAGGAATTAATATTAATAATGGATATTAATCATCTTATTTCCCTAGTTGTCTAAACCCTAGTATTAATTCTGGCTTAGGTATAATTAAAGATAGATATTTAGTAAAAATAGGAGGATTAAATTAAAATAGAGAATTATGTGGAGTTATAGAAGTGTTTGATTAAGTAAACTAAAATTGGTAGACTATCGATCCTAATGTCTTTGAGGAAAATATAGAACCAGATTTTAACATTTATGCATAAGTAGGATGCGTTAGTATTAATTAAGACGAAGTTTATGTATTTGGAGGAGTTGATGCTAATGGACAGAAATAGAAATTAAATTATGTTATTAGCTTCTAAAATGGGGAAGCTTGTATTGAAAACATTAATGTTTTTGATATTTTGTAAGGAAGAAGTTTTAGAAATGTTTAATGCTTTATTAAAAATAACTAAGTTTTATTTTTGGATAAATAGACTTTAGGGGTTTGCAGTAGTTTTGGATGGAATTTCTATTGATTGATTATTTTTTATTATTTGTCATTTAAAATTTAAAATTTTTTTTTAGTATTTATACTTTTCTAAAATATTCATTATATTTTGTATTAAAATATTTATTTATATTTTATTATATTATTCTTTATTTAAATTTATAAAATAATCAATATATAAATTAATTATAATAAATAAGAGAAAAATAAAAAATATGAGTGAAGATGTAAATAAAATAAAAAATTATAATATATATGTACATATTATATAGAACGATTAATAGAAAAGTTTTTAGAAATAATCTCATAATTTAAAAGATGAAGAGTTTTAATTCAATGAATGTTAATAAATATAATTATTTTAAATTAAATATAACATAAATATATTTATAAAATTAAATAAAAATATTTATTTTAATAATACAAATTAGTTCACAATAATATTGCAGACAATGTAAAACGACTAGAAATAAATCTTATAAAAAGCACTTTAAAATTAAAAAAATAAAGAAAATCATTTCATTAATTAATATAAAATTTAGCTTTATTTTTAGATAATAAAGGAATAAACTCAAAAGATATTGAGGAGTGTAAATTTAATTAAAAAATATAATTAAATATATCTTTTTATCTGCAAATAATAAAATAATTAAAATTTTAGTTATTTATTCTATTTAAGACTAAGTTAAGGATGAAATATTCTATCAAGACGAATAATTAGATTTTAATTTAATTTAAAAGGAATCGTCAAAACAATTGAAATAAAACGTATAAAATAATCATTAAGTATAATAATTTAATGGATAAGTAATTCAAAATAATTCTAATGCGAATAGTTGTCAATACATAATTTAATTACAATAAAGAACTTAGAAAAAATAAAAAATAAAAATAAATTGTCACAAGATTTTGAAAAAGAATATTCGGAACAATCCTAAACAAGTAGAAAAAAGAAAGTAAAATATTATGATTAAGATAACTAGAGTGATAATATATATTAATAATAATAACAATAATCTTAATAAAATTAAATTTAGGATTTAAACTAATTTTCAAAAAATAATTAGTAAATAAATTAATAATTAAATTTTTAATTATTATAAAATGATTAAACTTAGTAGTAGTTATTGAATTAATAATATATAAATAGTTAAAATAAAATTTGATTGTGAAATTTAAAATTTGTATTTATTATTAAAATATAGTAAATATAAAATCAAAACAGTATTTTTATATAAATTATTTATTATATTTATATAAATTATTTATTATTTTTATATATTTTTTTGAAAAAAAATTTAATATTATTTTAATATAAATATAATATTATTTAAAAAAAAAAAATTTCTAAAATTACAAAGCATTTTTTGATTTTTAATTAGTTTTTTTTTTTATCTTTCTCTTTCTTTGTCTTAAATAATTACAAAAAGGATAAATAAAATAATGAAGTTGCATAAATAGATAATAATTAATAAAATATATTTAAATATGAAATAGAGTTAAATTAAATATATATTAGTATATTAAGTTAAATAAACAAAGAAAATATATAATTAGATTATTATTATTTAAATAAAAAATTATATTTGTAAATATAAAAATGAAATAAGTAAAATCAAAATCATAATATATAATATAAAAAAATGTTTATAAAAGTATTATTTTTTGTTTATTAGATAGTAGATAAATAATTAATTCTAAATATATTTAAATATTAATTATATTTTATAAATTATAGATTAAAAAAATAAAAATATTTTTAGTATATTAAATAAATTGTGGAAATATATATTAAAGACTAATCATAATAAAAAAAAAATAATTAAATAATAAATATAAAAATTTATATATATTTATAAATTATTATCCCTTTAAAAGTAAAATAAATAATTATAATCTATAAATAAAAGTATAGCCAAAAAATGTAAAAAAGCAAAACTTTTAATTCAATAAATAATAATAATTCTTAATTATTTATTAATTCAATAGATGAAAATTAAAAACAATTGAATAAATCAATAAAACTAAAGTAGCCAAACATTGACTAATTCGAAAAGGTTTTAAAGCAGAATTATTAATGTGAACCAATATCAAAAAGACGATATTAAAAATAGCAGGAGCTAAAAAGGGAGCAAGAGAGTAATAATATATCATCTATAATTAACAATAACTTGAGCACAATTAATAATACTATAGACGATACATTAATGTAATATAATGTGAAAAATAAAATTAATAATACGACAAATAAAAACACTAGCAATAGTATAAATTAAAATAAACAATCTATTAAAAAATCCCATTTTTTCGATGGCCCTCCTAAATTTGAGACTGAAAAAAACGCTAACAATATTGGTCTAACAAAAATAAATCATTTAGTAGACACTTCTTTATTATAAAAAAATAACTAATAATAAAATAATATTTGTGAATATTCTAAAATTTTTGAGCAAAATCCTATTAAATTTGAAAAAAGTAAACTTTATTTTGAAAATGAAGGATTAAATTCACCTTAATAGAGATTTGAAATGTTAAAAATTACAAAATAAAATCAATAAAAACTCCAGGAATGGAAATAAATCTAAGCAAATAATTAAAAAATGTATAGAATAGCTAAAAATGGCTTTAAAAGTGGGATTATGCATTTAGATGGACCTTATAATACTAATACTTAACTTTATTTGTAAGAAAATATAGCTATTCGTTAGAAACAAGAAGATGAACTTTTAAGAAGATAAGTAAGATTGTAATGCATAGAGAAGTTTATATCTGCAAATCCTGTTATTGCATTTAATAATAGTAAATATGCAGGAAAATTTGATTTATTGAAATAGTTTCCTTATTAAGATGAGTGTTTTTTTGTTGGCTTTAAAGAAAAAAGAAAAAATGAATAAGTCTAATTCAAAAATAAATAAACTTTTGATAGAATCTTTGGTGACAATTTGGAAGATTAAAAACAAATAATTGCTAGTTAAAGAAGTAAATATTTAATGTAAAAAGATTTATGTGGTAAATCTCATAATATTATATCTAATACCTATAATCCTTCGGTTTAATATACATGATTATTTTTTATAAATATATTTTTAAAAATATTATGATTAATCGATTTTTTTTTTTTCGATATTTATTTTATATTATATAAAATATTTTATTTATTAAATTAATTATATTTTTTTATGCTTCTTTGCTTATTATTTTATTTATAATGATTTATAATTGATTGAATAAAAATAATTGTTTAAAATATAATATATTATTAAATCACATATATTATAGAATTTTTTGCTTATTTTAAAATTAATACTTTTGTTGCTTTAAGTTTTTATGTTTTTATATTTCATATAAAATCAATAATTATTTATTTTGTGTGATTATAAAAAATAAAAAATATTATTTTAATAATATATAAAAAAAATGGAAGATAGAAATTCAGTCCTAATGAATTTTATATTAAATGATAAATAACATTTAAAACAATTTTAAAATTCTTAAAGTCCTTTTAAATAACTAAAAAAAAATAATTAACCAAATCAGAAAGTAATTTTAAAAGGAAAGTTTTATACATATTACTAAATAACAAAATAATTTCGTTTATTCTATTTTGAATTATATCCTAATCTTTTAATAAAATACTAAGATAAAACAAGATGTCCTCCGATTGAATAACTTTAATGCTAACTTTATTCAATATATTTAGATACATAAACAATTGGTGAATAAACAGCATATGGTATAATATTATAAAATCATGAAGTAAATTAAATAACAAAACTGGTGACAGATAAAAATTCTTAATATAAACTATGGACAAAATATTTAAAAAAGTATTGCAAATTATAAAATTTTATATAAAGACACAAAATCGATAACAGATTATTTGATTGCTTTTTTGTTTGCATTGATAAAAAGAAAAAAGAATATACAACAACTAAAATAATTAGTAAAAAAACATTAAATATAGATTAAAAAAGATTTATAGAAAATGAAATTACAATCTTAAAATAATTAGAATGTAATTTATTACCAAAATTAAAAAAAGTTTACGAAGATGAATCTTGCATGTATTTAAATTTCTAATTTTTTTAAGGAGATACTTTATTAAAAATCGTTAACGAATCTAATTTAGATGAAATCACGATTGCCACTATTACTTATCATATATTAAAAGGTTTGAAAACTATTCATAAATCTGGACATTTTCATGGAAATATTAAATTAAATAATATAATTTTTAGTACTATACAATAAGATAATAAAATTTATTTAATAAACTTTAAATATATTAATAAAAATTCAAATATATATAGAGATTTATTACTTAAAAAAGGATAAAATAATTACATAGCCCCCGAAGTTATCTAGGGAACTGATTTTGATAATTAAATAGATATGTTTTCATTGGGAGTTTGCTTATTTTATATGTTCTTTAAAAAATATCCTTATTCAAAAATCGAATATACAATTAATAAATGGAATTATGATTTAGATTTGTCTATTCTTAATCAAATGATTAATGAAAAAAGAAAAAATCCATAATGTGTTTAAGTTCTTTCTGCTTCTGGAATCGATTTTTTACAAAAAATTCTTTGTACAGACCCTAAATTAAGACCTAATGCAGCTTAGTCTCTTAATCATCATTGGTTTATAAACTTCTCGAATAAAACAAATAAAGATAAAAAATTATAATTCTTTAAAGAATCTCATAATATTTCTTCTCTTAAAACTATTCTCGAGTGTTCAGAAATGTCTGAAGCTTATTAAGTAGAAAGCTAAATGCGAACTAGCATTATGTTCCATAAAAAATAAATTAATTCTTAAACAATGCCTGCTTTTAGTGAAAATTATTTTAATAATGATGAAGATGATTCTAATTAAGATGATTATGTTAGCGATGATGAAAACTAATAAAAAAGTGTCAGTGAGCTAATGCACAACTTGAAGGCTTAATCTATGCCTATGATTTTTAATAAATATTCAGAAAAAGAAGAAACTAAATTAAGTAAATGAATTTTTATAAATAATTAAATTATTTTTATAATTATAAATTGTTTATTTATATAATTTTATTTTTTTATTATAATTTTATTTTTAACTGAAAATATTATTTTAATATTTATATATATTTTCTTTTTGTTTTCTTCATTTTAAATTTCTTGCAATAATAATTATTTTTAATTAAAATCAAACACAAAATACAGAATATTTATTAATTAATTTTAAAAGTCAAATTATTAACATATTGTGTTAATAATTAATTTAATATTAATATTTTAAGACAAGTTTATTAAATTTTTTACTAAAAAATATAAACATACAATTAAAGAATAAAGAAAATCAACGAAAATAACAATTTTTTGGATAAAAAAATTTATAAATAATAATATATAAATCACTTCATAATTACTTAAAAATAATACTTTTTTTATAACTTATTTACGTTAGGGCGTAATTAATTTGTCAAAAAGAACGAACAAACCTCATTAAAATATAATAATTATAGTTGTTACAGTTATGAATTTTAGTAAATTAAACATAATAAAACATACTTGAAAAACAGAATATATATTTAAATAATTTTAATTTCTGTAAAAGCATATATATATTTTATTTATCATATTTTGTTTAAAACTTTTAAGTACTCACTATAATTGAAGTAAAAGCTATTTATTTTACCAAAAAAAATTTCGTTTTAGACTATCAATAATTAGGTATAACCTTTTTTATCGATAAAATTATGCAAGCGAATGTTAGAAACTTTAGAAAAAGACATTTTAAAACATTTGATTCTGATTATCTCTCAATATCATTATCTCAATAAATTCACTATATTGTGAAAATCAAATGCGTCAAAGTTTTTTTTTCAATTCTTAAAAATGCACTATCACATATTATTGGTTTAAAAGTTATATCAAAGGACTGAAGCTCTTACATTTTTTTTTTCAAAGAAATTAGGCTATTTTTGTTTTTATAGGGTATATGTAGTAAATGGAATTTATAAAAAAAAAATTAATTTAATTATTAAATACCTAATTTATTAATTAAAATAGAAAATAAGCAATAAGACGCTTTTTTAATTTATGACTGTAAAATAAATTAAATTGAAAAAAATATTAATAAAATTTATAAGATGAATAAAAGAAATAAATAAAGGAAGGTTTAAAAATAAATGAAACCAATTTTAAAAATAATTTAAATAAATTATTATATATAATTATATTTAAAAAAAAAACTTGCTAAAAATTATATTTACTCATTTTATCATTTTTTTGTTTTCAAAAAAAAAAAATTAATATACTTTTTAAAAATAAAAATTAAAATAAATTAAATAAAGAAAAAAATTAAAATAAATCATTAAATGAATTCGCCTATTAAAAGTGATACATCAACCGATAAGTAATACTAAATAAATTGAAAATTTATATAAAAATATTAATAAAAAATTAATATTATCAATTAGATATGAAAACAGCTAAAACTAAAAAATACCGGAATTTTAATATGGCAAATAAAATGCGTGCCCTATACTTCAATCAAAAAATAATGAAATCGATATAGAAACTGAAGTAACAAGTAATAACGAAGAAAATAATTCTAAAATAGCAGAAAAACACAATAACTCAGTGGATGATTTAAATTCAAAATTTACACCAAATCATACCTCAATAGTCTTAATTGAACAGGCAAAATAATTTAAAAAATTATGGTAAGAATACAATATTGAGTATTAGAGAAGTTAAAACGAATATTTTTATATATTTCTACAAAATGGTTAGAAAAATGGAAACTTCATGTAGGTTATGATGAAGTAACTAAAGGGGTCTAAACAAATGAATTTTATTTTGGAAAATAATAATTAGAGAAGGCAAACAAATGTTTAATATAATATAAATGTAATGATAAATAGAATGAATATTATAGCATAAAAAATAAATCTGATTGTGAATACTATGTATTAAAACCTTATTTAATAGAAAATTAGGATTATGTTATTTTAAATCAAAAAATTATTGATTTTTTTATATCTTATAATTACTAAATTAAAAAAATTATCAGAAAAGCTTACATTTCTGCAAGTGGATTAAAATAAATAGAAATTTATTATAAATAAGTATTAATATAGTTATTTATTAAATTATATTTATTTTTAAAAAGTATTAATTATTAATACTTAATCATGCTTTATTAAAAGATATTGACACAAGAAATATTACAGCTTTTAACCATTTAAAAAAAATATAGCTTTTTTCTTATTTGAAAATTCCTTAAGTAAAAAATTACTTGTCTTATTTTGCTCAAAATTTTTAACATAAAAAAATAAATTTTTATTCTCAAAATAATTAATCAGTAGTTAATGCAGAAAATATTAGACTGTGGAAATTAGGAGAAAACTAAGGACTTCATGATTTCTTTTAATAAATACTTAAAATGACTAATAGTTCACCTGGATTTGATTATAAATTAAAGGCTCCTTTAATTTGTTTAGAAAAAAGTGACGATGCTACTTTTTAAGATGTTGATATTACTGAAAATGAAATACTTGTTGTTGAAATTTAAAAAGATGACAATAGTGGTACATTTACTGATTTCTTCTTTAAAATGGAAGGAGAACTTAATCAAGAATAATGTGATTATTGTAGAACTTATAGAATTTTGAAATTTTAGTGCAAATGTTAAAAAGTAAATATTTGTTTATAATACTATATTTAAAATTATTTTCATTTTTTTTTTATTATAATATTTTTCAATAATTTTATGATTTCTATAATTTTTAAGACAAAATAAATCATATATATCATTTATAATTAAAATTATTTGAACTAAAAAATATAAAATAAATATTTATAATTTTTAAAATATTAAGGCTTCTTATTGTACTGAATCTTGTAGGTAAAAAGACATAAGCTATCATTCAAGAGTATGTGATTTAGCAGATCAAGATACAGAAGAAGAAGATAATGATAATCCATATTAATTTTAATAATTATCAGTTAGAGGAATATGTGGATTAAATAATTTAGGAAATACATGTTTTATGAATAGTGCTCTTTAATGTATGAGTAATACCGAATATCTGACATATTATTTTTTAAAAAAGTATTTCAAAAATGAAATAAATTTAACGAATCCATTAGGAACAAATGGAAAATTAGTAAAGTAATATTCCTAATTCATTAAAAATTTATGGATTAGTACAGAAAATGTATTTTAACCTTTAGGAATTAAAAGAGCAATAGCGTCTCTATAAAATATGTTTGCAGGTTATTAATAACATGATTCTTAAGTACTTTTTTTTTTTTTTTAATTTTTTTTCTTTTACAATAGGAATTCCTTTCTTTCATTTTAGATGGCCTTCATGAAGATTTAAATAGAATAAAATAAAAGGCTTTTACTGAATAAATAGACTCTAATGGTGAGTATGATAATATTGTTTCTAAAAAATCTTGGATTAACCATTTAAAAAGAAATCAAAGTATAATTGTAGACATTATGTAAGGATAGTTTAAATCTAAAGTCAAGTGTCCTGAATGTGGTAAAAAATCAGTTACTTTTGATCCTTTTCTTACTTGTACTTTACCTATTCCTCATTAATAACTTAAGAATATTGATTTGTACTATATCTTTGTAAATAATAGAGCAGTTAGTTGTGCAGAAACTTTTTATTATTAATCAGATAAAAATCTAAAGGTAGATGATTTAAAATCTTATTACAGTAGAAAGTTTAAAGTTGAAAAAGAAAGGCTTTTACTTTTTATGAACTAGTAAGAATTTTTATATAAAATTTTTATAATATTCTTAAAAAAAAAAAAGATATAATGGTTTAAATTAAATATAAGATAGTTTATTAATTCACGAAGTAAAGAAACAATCAAAAAATTTCAAATATTAGCTTATTTTATTCGAATTAGATTAAGCAAAATAAAATGATGATGATATCTTACTTTTTGTTGAACTTTCAGTTCAAAAATCTCATAATTTTCAATATTAAAAAAAATATTATAAAGAAAGTTATTATCCTCGTCCTTTTATTTTTAACAAGAATGCTACTAGCAAAGATATACATTTAAGAATATTTGAATGTTTAAAATAGGTAATAATTAGGAGTAAAGATATGTTAGATGAGGATATTTTATAAGATTTGTAAAACATAAATTAATTATACTTAAAACATATAATTCATTATGAAAAATCACAAAAATTTTACTAATTAAACATAGTTTCAAACAACACGTAAGGTTATAATGAAAAATGCAAGTAAATAAAAAAATATATCAAATTAAAAATATGAAATATTTTTTTTTAAAAAAAGTTGGTGTCATTAAGAAAATTGTGAAAATTGTTAATTATAAATAAATGATGAAAGGAATTTAGAACAATTAATGCAATTAAATAAAGATAGTCTCCGTAAATTTAAGTTAGAATGCTTATTTTTTGCATAAAGCTAAATTAACCATCAAGAATTGAAGGCTTTAGAAAATCCTTCTCCGGAAATTTTAAATTAAGAAGTATTAAGTGAACAAAATCAATAATAAAGCGAAAAAACAACAATATATGATTGCTTTAATTTATTTTAATTAAAAGAGTAACTAGGAGAAGATAACGAATGGTACTGTTCCAATTGTAAAAAGCATTAAAGGGCAACTAAAAAAATGAAAATTTATAGATCTCCCTAAATTCTTATTATACATTTAAAAAGATTCAAAAATAATGCTGGAATTATGTGGAAAGGAGGGAAATTGACAAAAATTATTGATTTTCCTTTGGAAAACTTAGATATTACAGATTATGTTATTGAAAAAGAACCTCCTTCATATTATTATTAAAATAGTACTATCCCTGAAGATGATTAGGAAATTTAAAATGTTTATATATAACCTTAATATAATATTTTATAAGAAGTTAAAAATGAGAAGTTAATTAATAATAATTAAATTTAAAATGGCGATTAAAAAATCGAAAATAATAATTAGATTGAGATTGAAGATAAAAATGATAATATTAGTACCCAATAAATGGATATTGAAGATGGAAAACTACTTTATAATTTATATGGGGTTGTCAATCATTTCGGAGGTATAGGAGGTGGACATTATACTGCTTATTGCTTAAATGAAGATAATTGGTACTGTTTTGATGATTCAAGTGTAAATAAAGTTAATAAAAAAGATATTTGTACTGAAGCATCTTATATTTTATTTTATAAAAAAAAATGAATAATCTTTTTTATAAATAAATAAATTTTAAATATGATTATTTAAAGTTAAAATTCTTTTTATTATAAAAATAATAAATATTAATTTATGAAAATACAAATTTAAGTGAAATTTAAAAATAAATATATTTTTTATTATTTAATATTTTTATATCTAAAAAATTTAATTGCATATTTATAATTTAATATAAAAATATTTTTGTTCAAATTTAAGTTATTTTAGTTAATTCCAATGTTTAATTTTCTTAATTAGCAATTTTTATTTATTTTAAATGTACTTTTAATTAGAACTTAAGTTCTTCATCTTCATCTCCTCCATATTCTTAAAATTCTAAAGTATTACTTTTTCCCATTAAGTTAGCCATAGAAAGAAAAGCAATGGAGCTGTTGTTTCTAAGTAATCCTTTATTTTATATTTGATTTTCATTTTTTTATGAATTTTATTTAATTTTATTAGTAAAGTTAGGAATTATTTTTGAAAAATCAAGCACTTCTTCTGAAATTTTACCTTCTTTTTTTAACGATTCAATCCTTTAATAAAATAACTCTTAAGATCTATTTTTTAACAAAGTATTATTTAATTTTTATAATGATTAACAATTATTATAACTTTATTATTTCAAATTATTTGAAAGTGAAATTTCACTATGTGTTTAATTTATTAAATATCGTTATCTTTTTTGTTATTCTTCTATATTTGATTAACCGATTACATTTTTGTTACTATTTGAGCTTTTTTCATTATTAAACGATTTGTCAGCAAGCGATAATAGTTAACTATCTTAATTATTAAAAGGAGATTGTTCAGATTCTTTTTCCGTTATTTTAGACACTTTATATATTATAAATGATATGTATTATAAAAAATAAAATACATGTATTTTTATAGTTGAATTGCTATTTAATTTTATTTTTTATATGCATAAGTTGTAAATTTTTTTCAGTCATTTAATACTCATATTATCCTATGATAATTTCCTCTTCTTAAATTTCTTAATCTCTATAAATTTTTGCAAAATATAATCCTATAACCCCCCAAAAGCTCCAAGCCATCAAAAAAATCATTCCGTTTATGCTTGCTTCACTTCTACTAATTTTATTAATTAATCCATATAAAAAAGGAGCAGGTAAATACCCTAATAAATTATAAAATAATTAAGCTGTTGAATTACAAAACGCTCTAAGTTTTTTTTACACTGAACTCAACATTAAACCCATTATTGCTGGTATCATTGCAGCTTCAAAAAACATTAAAAACCATAATAAAGTTACTACTATAGAAAAATCTTTTTGAAAAGGAATTGGTATTGCACACATTGATGCACATACACCATTCAGCATACAAATACTCAGAACATATTTTCCATTATATCCACCAGCTTGGTGTAATGCGATTCCACCTTTTTTTTATGATATATAATATATATATATAAATATATATATATATATATATATATATATATATATATATATATATATATATATATATATATATATATATTACCAATTATTACACCAAATGCCGGCGCTGTTAATGATATTATTGAAAAACTTGTATATACTAAAGCTTAATCTATTTTTAAAACTATCCTCATATAGTCGGACATCCAAAACTAGATTCCAGTTACAACAAAATATAAAGCAGTTAATGTTAGCATTGTATAAACATAAACTTTATTTTCCCAAAGTAGCATTAAATTTTAAAAATATGTATTTTCCTTCTTGTTTTATTAAAATTCGAATTTAGACTAATTATCATCTTCTTCTTAAATAAGCTTCTCCTCTTATAAGGATATATTTTATTTTTAAATTGTTACACATTAAATATCTAAATCTTATTCTTTGAAAAAAAAAAGTAATAAACAGCAAGTTAATAATGAAAAAATTTGCAATAAAAATGCATTGTCCCACTTTTTTTTTTATGTTTATTTAAATTTATAAATATTATTTTATTTTTCTCTACATTCGGCATATACATTGAAGTTATTATATATCCTAAAAATACTCCTAAAGGAACACATAATTATATAAAAGCTAACCACAATGTTTATTTTAATCCTCCATGAATCTTTTTTTATATTTTTTTTAAAATAGTAAATCAATAAAACATATTCCTACCTTATATTTACATCAACCCAAACAGGAAAATATACAACTAGAAATACTTAGAAAAAACCTACTAAAAATCTAGATAGACATAATAATATGAAATTTTTTGTCAACAAAAACAAATACAAACTAAATACTAGAAATATTATTGAAATACATATTAATCTTTTTGTTATTATCTTTTAGAAAGAATATGATGATGCTATAGATCCTATAGTTAATCCAATATATACTATAGACCCTAAAAAACCTAATTTTACATCATCTATATTTAAATATTCTTTTATTTCCATTGTTGCTGCTGGAATTATTCCATGATCAAAATTTATTAATAAGTTTGATAAAGTATTTATTAAATATATAAGCCATTTAATTAAAGAAGGATTTTACAATATTGTTCCACTTCTTGTTTTAATCATTATAATTTTTTATATTTATTTATTTTTAAATATTGTTTTTGGTAATATTTGTATTTTGTAAAAAAAATACTTTTATATGATATAAAAATTTAAAATATTTTCATGATATATTATGAATAAATAAAAATTATAATTTAAAATATATTTGATAAACAAGCATAAGAAAAATTATTTTTAAATAAAATCAAGATTAAAATTTTGAAAAGAATTATTTTTTGTATATTAATAGTTGTGGAAAAATGAGATAATATTTTATTTTATTTTTAAATTAGGAATTAAAAAGGAATAGACTAAAGACTAAATTAATTAAATTGTCTTTTATACTTATAAAATTTATTAGAATAAATAAAAAAAATATTTATAAATAAATTTTGAACCTACCTTAAATGCTCAAACATAAATAAATTTTAATATATAGTGAGTGAGTGAAGTTAAAAAAAATATATTCTAATACTATTAAAATATAAAAAAAAAGATAAGTATATTTCAAAAATTTTATAAAAATAATATTTTTTATAAAGTTAAAAAATTTTGAAATTAATATATAAAAAAAATAATATAAGTTAGTTATATAATGAGTTTTAAATTATATTAAAAAAATATAAAAAATATTGATAGGGATATTACAGATTTCAACATATTTTTATTTAAATAAATTTATCTTTAAGGTAAAGATTATAATAAAAAAATATTTCAAATTAAATTTTAATAAGAAAAATTACAAATGTCCTCTTAATTTTTTATTTCTAAAAAATCTGTATTAATATGTTTACTTTATTATATTTTTATTTAATGTTTATTATTAAATTATTCTCTATCCATATCATTAAAATAGTATAATCTGAATTATTTAAATTATAAAATTAAGTATCTTTAATTAAATAATCATAAACTTAATAAAATTCTTATTTTGCATAAAAAAAGCTTTCTTATTTTCTAAAAGGTTAATATTCAATGAAATATTATTTAGAGAATTTGTAATGAGACTTATCTAGGATAATTATATTAAAAATATTTACAAGAAAGAAATAGAAAATTATGGTTAGCAGAAATCTCTGGGGCAAATAAAAATATTTTTTATTAATAAACTATTATAAAAATTTAAATTACACATATTTAAAAAAAAATAGAATTAAAAATAAAAAATAATAATGATTTTTATATAATAATCTTAATCAGTATTAGGTTGGTAAGACTAGTATTTTTTTTTATTATTAATAATCACTGTAATTTACTATATTTTATTTTAATTTTTTAACTTTGTTTGAAAATTTATATTTTTTAACTTATCTTTTAAATTTTAAATATTCATAATTTTAATTATGATATATAAGATTAAGATGAATTAATTAAAAATTTATATTATTATTTGAAAAAAAATGAAAAAAAATATTTATTTAATAAATTTTTAAAAATATTATAAAAGTCAGAATGAAAAAATAAAAAAATAATTTTTGGAGTTTCGATGGATTAAATTATAGTTTAAAAAATTTTTGGATATAAAATTATTATAAGAAGATATAAAATTATAAAAAAAATTAATGTAGAAGAAATATTTTTTTAAATAAAATAAATCTTTATTAATTCATATAATTATTGTATTAAATAAATAAACTATAATATATTAGATTTTTTTACTATAATTATAATAAAAAAATATCTAATAATTTTTATTTTCATTAGTTTCCTTGTTATTAAATAAGATTTTCTGCATCATCAATCTATGCTTTTAACTCTTCATCAGAATTAAGGAATTCAAAAATATCATCCAATTCGAAGACTTCTAAATCAATAAGCATACCAGTAATTTTAGGAGCATTTTAAGCATTTTTGCACATTTACACAACCTTTGGATAGATTAAATTACCTAATACTTTTTATTATTCTGTAGGATTAAGCTTCTTTAATTCTTCTACTGTAGGAATTTTAACTTAAGCTGGAGTTTATTATTATTATTATTATTATTATTATTATTATTATTATTATTATTATTATTATTATTATTATTATTATTATTATTATTATGGTTATTAAGCTGTTCTTGCAGGTGGCTATTATGGTCTAACTGCTGGTTATCCTTGAGGTCTTTATTATGGAGGTCTTGCAGGAGGTTAAGTAGGTCTTTTATTTTGATTATTATTAGGTAAGTTTCTATTTTAATTATTTTTGTTTTGTTAGAAATTGTTCATGTTTTAGTTATTCTAAGGTCTATATTATCTTTATTATTAATATTGATTATTAAATTATCCAGGTTATTGCATTCCCATACTATTAGGTCTTTATTACTATTAGAAATTTTAATTATTTCTAAATTATTAGTTATTTTGCATCATAAAGTTGGGCTGTAATGTTTATTAGTACTATTATTATTAAGGTTATTATTATCTATTTTAGTTGAAACCCATCATTTAAGTAGGAAGTCTGGGCATATTATTATTACCCATTAATTACATAGCAAATTAACGAGGAGCAAAACCTACAAAAGGTAAGAATTAACCTTTGTGTCCTTATTAAAATTGCAAGAATTAAGGTGGCTATGATTAGCGATTTTTGTTTTTTTATTTTCAAAAGATTCTTTAAGTTTAATTTTATGTTCATATTTTGGAAGTAGTTTACTCATGTATTTATAATCTCCATTATATATAGTAGAAAATTTGCTTCTTAAGTCTTGGTTTTTCTTGAAGTCTTCCAAGAATTTTTATACTGTAGGACCATCTTTTAATATAAGGGTAGCATATTAACTTGTTTATTTATTTTCGTTCATGTAGTCTTCTTAAGAAGGACGGGATAAACGAATTGACTAAACTTATGTTCCGACTTCTTTTTCAATTATTTCTCTTAGTGTTTATTCTGAAACGTCACTTTTAAGATTCTTCAAGTAAATATAATTACTTTATTTAAAGTGCTTAAGAAGTTTTTGCTTGATTTCTTGCTTAGCTGCCCTATTATGAGGAATTACATATTCAACATCTTATAATATTTCAGGAAGAGATGAAACATTTTTCTCTTTGTCCTAAAAAAAATTACTCATGAAATTATTTGCATCATTGGCATTTAAGAAACAACAAAAAGCACGAGATTAAGCTTTGTGTAAATATGAACATCCGGCTTTTTTTTAGACAAAATGAATCTCGTAACAACATTAATTTATGTCTCCTTTTTCGGTTACACATTTTTTTTCTCTGAAGCATTAAGCATGTTAGAAGCAATTGTTTCCTTATTCTTCTTCTGATTCTTTATCTTTGCCAAGTCCTCCCCAAACAAATACTGAAGTAATATGTGATTAAGTATAAATAGCTACTGATTATTTAAGAAAAGTTACATATTACTCTGAAGAATAAGCCAAAAGGGGGTATCTGAATTATAAAATGACATTATTAGACATTTTACCGAATTCAGGTTATTATTATTTTTCTCTTTTAAGGAATGTTGGCATAAGGGTTTAATCTTAATGTTTAACTCCTTCCGAGCAGGCTCTTTGAGCATCAGAAGAGTTTTTGAATTAGACATAACCAAAAGTTAGTCCATCCTTTACTACTATTTTGCAACTTGTAACAAGTCCTAATTATTCAAAAGCTTAGTTCAATCCAGAAAGAGCCATAGAATGGGGAAGTTACTTCAAATAAATATTACATTCATTCATTAACTTTAATTCTTCAGGCTTCATAATCATAATTACATTAATTTCTTAGTTGTGGATCTTTTATCCTATTAATTTACGACGAGCATCTACAGCTGAATCTTAATCTTTAAAAAATGCAAAAGCTGTTCCAAAAGACTCTTTTGTGTTTTTGTGTCTGTCAACTTTGAAAGATGTTATGTTTGACATTAAGTTTTATGAAAGGAATATTTTTAAAAGAACTTCGTCAGTAACACTCTAAGCTAAATTTTTAATACGAACACCATGAATTTAAGAGACTGTTCCTGTAGCAAAGTTAATTAAAGGATTAAAGCTTGCTAATTAAGGAGGAAATTATATTTGAGCAGGTTATTGCATTATTTTTTTCTTTTTGTTTGTATTGGTTGTGGTTGTGGTTGTATTTGTTATTGTTGTTGTTTTTTTTTTTAAAAAAAAGTATTAAATATTTATTTATTTATTTAATTATTATAATTATAATTTTTTTTTCCTTTTTATATATATATATTTCTTTGCATTTAAATGTTTATATTAGAATTCAATCATTTTTTTATGTCCACTTTTATTATAATAAATATGAACAAAAATAAGTACAGCTAGTTATGTCCATTTTTGTTATAATAATTAAACATAGTAAATTAAAGGGTTTATAATATTTAGTGCACCTTTTTATTTTGATTTAAGAATATATTTTTAACTTTTTAAATAAAGATATATATAATTTTATACTTTTAATATTTATATTTTTAATTCCTTTTTTTTAAATTTATAATATTTTTGAACAAAAATTAAATTTTATAAGGAAATTATTTTTAAAAGAGTAAAATTTATTTAAATGCTGTTATAATTTGTAAAGTATAAAATTTTTTAAAAAAGTAAAAACTCAATAATAAAAACAATACATTTTAAAGTAATATAAATTTAATACTAAAGTTGTAAAGAAAAAAAACATAGAAATAAAAAATATCTAATTTTCATAAAAAATACATTAATTTTATATAAAAAATAATTATCTATTATATTACCAAATGTAATATATTTTTATAATATATATTTTTTTTTTCTTTTATTTTTTATTTATTTGTTTTTAATAATAATATTTATGAAAATAACATTTTTATTTATATAAAAAATATTAATTCTTATTAATTACTTATTTTCTTCCCTTCAAATTTTTTGTTAATTAATATTACTAGCTCTTTTAAATTTTAATAAACATAAAAGATTATTAATTATATATTACTATTATTTGTAGATATTATTATATATTTATTATTATTATTTTATTTTTGTTAAACTTTATACAAAATCATATATTACAAAAAATAAGAAAAAAAAAAGGATTAAAATCTTTTTATTTTTT